GTAGAACAAGGAGTAACTTCAGAAAACTGTATGCTCGCACGTCTAAGTATAAGAATTCTATGATACCATACTTGGCATGTATTTTATGTGATGAAAATAGTGTCAGGCAAGAATTAACTAACCTTCTTTCATCTAGTAAATAAACAATTTCCTCCATCCATCCTTACATACCTTCAAGTTTTACTTTTATTACTTCTATTATATTTATGGTCCTGTTAATTCTCTGTTTTACTCTCATAATTGCAAACACCAACTTATCTCCATGACGGCTGTAATCTATGTTTTTTCCTTCACCATATCATGTAGAAAGAACATTATATTCAATATTTTTAAACATGTTAGGATTTCTATACCACATTGACAATACTGTGTGGCACAAGCCAACGGCAATTTTCACTTGTATTCTTATTATTATTACCCTAGCTGTTATCATTATTATTGCTATTTCCATTTTATATGCTGCATGTTTTTGACACTACCTCTATTGTAAATGTGGAAAATTTTCTGTGTGATTAATTTTATTTATAATTTGAGGAAATTAGATGCAATGTGCGTCGGTGGCACAGTGGTTAGGACTCTCGCCGACCATGCACATGGTCCGAGGTTCGAGCCCACACCGGCGCATACCTGATATCTATGGTCGGCCTGCAAAATTTGGGCTACCGATATCCATGCTGAAAATTCCATACTTGTACCAAAACTACAGTGTGGAATCAAGCTGTAAATCAAAAATCAAAAAAAAAAATAAAAATATTGTGATTAATGCTGAAAATTCCATTCTGTATCACAAGTACTGTTTTTGGAATAAAGTAAACCATTATTATTATTAGAATATACATGCTGATGAATAGGCTGGGTACAACGGTTTTCCGTCTTTTGGTTTCATTAACCATAAAGTAATATGTTCGGTGGATTTCATAAATCCGAACATGGGTCCCAAGAACTCCATAGAGGGATTCTAGGAAGCCTGAAAGGCAGAACATGAGCGAAATACTGATCTCATTCTGAAATCATCTACAGTCACTCAGACGAATATGTGGACCGGGTGTGGCTTGATTTCTAGTTTAATCTGTCGCGGTGAACTTGGACCAGTGATTCCGTGGCATAAAGTAGGGTGGTCTGGTGTATCTTTTGCCATTTGTTGATTATTTTTTTCACAAATACACTTTTTTTATGATTAAACATCTTTTCCAAACTATTGCTTGTTTGGATCTGGCTGGTAAGTCTGTTCGGGCGATTATATGGCATATCACCTATTTGAAGTGGTGCCTCCAGGTATTTGCGCGGTTTTTTCTGGGATAATTCGCAAACAGTATTCAGTGAATAAAAAACATTCTGTAGACTTTATGAAACTCATAAACTGTTGCACTACTTTTGCAGGCAATATGGTGTTTCCTCAGTAAAGTGAGAATGGGATATTTCGGCTGCATAAAACGAGTAAGTGGTATCCTGGTAATACCAATGACTACAAGAAGTCTAGGAATTATGCACCACAAATTTTACTTTACTGAATACTCCAGCAGATTTTAAACAAACACTTAACAAATATCAAATTTATACAGGAAGTCAGTAAGATTTAGTAAACTAAAAGTACTTTCGGTTTCCGTAGGGGTTCTCCATGCCAAATTTATTCCTTTAAGGGCGTAAACAGATTACAAATTCAATTAAATAACACTGATGTTGAAGGAATTCCATTCTTTATTACTAAACCTAATGAAAACAATCATGTTTCTTATTCTAAAAACAGGAGTATTCGTAATGTTTAAGTTTATTTAAATGCAGTTGCATACAGTCGCACCAAGAATTCAGTGCAACTCGATCACAATAGTATATATACAAATAAACCGAAAAATAACGTCCTCCTTACCTTCTGAACAACTTGTCCTTATTCCAGGATAATAACTTTCTTTCACCTATCAGTCTCAGTTATGTCTATGAAACCGCAATATTAAATCAGTTAAATCATCCCCCAAAACCAAGGCCAATTGAAACCAATAGCAACATAGCAACAAGCGTCCTAGAGGGGATATGCAATAAAGCCACTCAATATTTACACGGCATGGGATCTCAGCTTTCCATATATTTCCATTTTAGAAGACGAATTTACCGAATTACCCTTTCCTCTCCTTGAAAATTATTTTTCTGTGGTGTGCAGTGAATTCAGCTCTTGCCGTTTCAGCTTCTTTACGCTACCTGTTCATGGAAACTTATTCAATTTTACTACTGGCCTGGAAGAAGCACCAGAATTTGTATCCGTAATATTTACAAAGCCTATAGGAGAACCCCTCTACCGAATCCCGAGTACTGCATTATCTGTATTTTGCCGGAAGTTCATTTCAAACCACAGATTAGAAATTTTGTTTGTCTCTCAGAAAGAACACAATTAAGTTCTTATTCACAATATGATGGTTCTTTAAAGCTGCACTGCAGGATACAGACTGTCTGATAAACGTCTGAGTCTAAATACCTTCTGTATCAGTCACTCTCTCAGGCTCCGCCTGATATCTAGCCTCCTACTGAAACAGCGTGTACGATATTCGATAGGATCCCTTCTGCATAGCCAAGGCAAATTCAGGGGGAAAAGAGTTGGTGTGCGGCAAATGACCAGCTTGTACTAATATTCAATACATCACTCCAAAGAGATGCATCACCTACTGCCTGGAAAGAAGTGAAGACCGTATGTGCAAATAAATCTTCGCTTTCCTGAACAGGTTTAAAGTTTCAGCCAGCCCTTATCCCCTCGCTATTTGCAAAAGTTTAGAGGGGGGAATTGCCACGTGTACGCTCAAATTTAGTGCCATTCAGACGATATCTTAGCTGAAAGTGTCCATACAAGTCTGAGTAAATACTTATTACGCAGTGATTTAGTGGAATATAAAAGCCCAGGTGAAAAAGAAAAGAAAATCGCAAATTGCAGTCGACGGTGAATTACGGTACGCTGAAAAATTTTAAGACTTTTATATCCTAGGGCTGATTTTGTAAAAGTATTGGCGAGTGTCTCCACCTGCTTTGTATAATGATAACTGCGCATTGTTGCAGATGATGAATACGTTTCGTGAAGTTGCTTTTTTATAAACTAGAGCAATGTTCTCAAATTAGGGGGATGTATGAGGACGAAACTGGAAGTAGCTGACATGAAAATCTGTCAAGCGAATATTACACTTATGCTGACAATGGCCAACAGTCAGACTGCCATATTGCTTGTCACTTACTCTTGTGTAAATGCTCACCACTTACATGTAACAATATTCTATTCTGTCTTATTAAATGCAGGCGCAACTACTATTACATCACACGTCATGCCTCCGGTCGCTCCCTACTACCTGAAACACATTTGCTTTCTGTCTAGTTTTGCTTTACGAATGTAATATTTTACGTCGTTAAAACAAATATAGTTTACGGACAAATTACTGTGTTCCAAACTTTTGCTAGTCTCAGTCCCTGTGTAGTCAATATTAACCATACAGAATAGGAAGTCTGTTGGAAAGTGAAATCCTACACCTGCTGAAACCATTACATTCACCTGCAAACGCTACCGGCTGAACTCTAAGATTCACACGGGATTTTTTGATGTGGGTTGTGTATGGTTATGAATGTCCCGAGGATGTGGAAGAATAGAAGAAGTATCTTGCCAAAGTGGTTCTTCTTTTTCATATTTAATCAGACTCGAAACTACCTCTTATTCTGTCGTGATAGATTAATGATAACCCAAATACCTCTTTTAGGTTAGACTGAGAAACCTGATGTTTGCAGTCTGGACACACTTGAAAAGTTTTTCTTTGGAGCATGGATAAACCATTAAAACATGATACCCAGCAGAACAAATATTTGACAAACTGTTAAGAATACCTCATCGAAACATGAGGAGGCTTAATGTGTGAATCATTGCCTGGCCCACCTAACCTGGCGGTAAGACTACTATTAATACCGCCCTAACTAGCAACTGTAATACTCAAGGCTGCTGAAAGACGTATTTTTTCACAGTGATTTGGAGGGAGTGCACAAGTAGGTAATCATCACTAGCTCTTGTCCCTTGAAAATTATGCTGACTATATTTTATTTTTTTATATTTTTGATTACAGCTTGATTCCACACCGTATTTTTGGTACAAGTATGGAATTTTCAGCATGGATATCGGTAGCCCAAATTTTGCAGACCGACCATAGATATCAGATGTGCGTCGAAAGGGGATCGAACCCCGGACCATGTGCATGGTCGGCGAAAGTCCTGACCGCTGTGCCACCGACACTACAAAGTGTTTCAGTCCACGTGGACAAACAAAATGATCATTCACGGTGAAACAGCTGGGGTTTAATTGAGTCAACAAACTTATTTGATCCTCCACAGCGCCGTTGGATGTTATGCAAGTGAAATATTGGGTCCATACGAAGCTTGAAGACAACAGGGACTCGGAAGTTGACCAAATTTATTTTATAGTTATTTATCTTATTCCCTTACGTTCCTAGTGAACATAGGTCTTCAAGCTAGAGCTCTAAAGTTTCGGTAGCAGCGGTGTTTTGTTTTTGCGGTATTGGGTTGTTAGCGTCACTCCCAACCTTTCCTGTTTACCAGTCTTATTACTAGCTTAGCAAGGTACAGGAATGATTCGGCCGGATATCGAACCCAGGACTACGTGTGTGGTTTGCGAGCATTCCACCGTTGTATTACCCACGCACCATAACCAGCTTTAACAGCCCTTAAATCTTCTTATCGTATAATTATTTGTCATTAATCCAAGTCATGCGATGTAGTTTTCATTTATTCAGTAATGGCGGAGTATGATAATGTGTACCAACTGCAGATTAGTAGCACAAAAATTATCTCTAACTAAAAGCCGAGCAGTTATCTCCCTTATTTAATGTGATTTGATGGAATTCAATGTACCAAAAATGTTGAACATATAATGGTAGCTTTGTTATTGATCTTTGGTCAGATATCGTTAATATATTTTCCCGGGTTCTCAACTTGGTTTGAAATTGTTGTGAATTGTTACGACAATAATGTGTAAATCTTGTGCGGCATGCGTCCGCGTGCTGATGATCGTATTCAACATTTTGTTCACGGTAAGTTATTTGGGGTCCTATTATTAGTCGAAGGGGAGTTGTAGACTCTAAGTGGAAGATTTGTCGTATATTCAAGTAGTCCTGATATAAATTCCCATGAATCATCTGCTCACTGTAAATGCAGTTTATGTCATGATGAAATCGCCTTGTATTGTTGTCTCAATAATTGGATGCCTCGTTGGTATGAGCAAAAACTACCTTGGCATCTTTTTCAAGCATCTGGCGATGCTGACCCATCACACGTCTGTCGCATAGTGTCGGTCGTTTTTATGACTTGCGTGTTTGAGTTAAAGATTAGCATCCTTGCGTTTGGATGTTGTCAACTTAATTATGGAGTTCAGTAGAGATTTGTAAGTGTTTCACCTTGCAGCTCAAGATGTGAATAACTACGTAGAAATTCATGAAAATCGGTAATATATATATATATATATATGTATATATATATATATATATATATATATATATATATATATATATATATAGACTGCACAAGGTGTTCGAGGTCAGCTTCTCCATATTACCATCAGTGACTGCCCAAACTCCCTAAACTTATACATGTCCATAATGCACAAGCAGTTTGATGCTTGAAATTGTGTCATCCTCAAACAGTCTCGATGGTCTTGACTTGACAGCAGCTTTATCCTTTTTTTACGGTTAATCTTTTTACCCTGAATCAGAGTGGTGAGTCTTTTATTGTGGCTGCTGGGAATGTCAGTGGCTAAGGGCTTTGGTAAAAGAGATAAGGCTGAGATGTGAACAGAAGCATTCACAATACCTAATTTTGTGGTAAATCACTTCCTACCATCGAAATGCCGTACATAACTACTTTTACACAAGTCTTTGTCCATTGCTTTATCATGTTCTGTTGTATTCACGCTGTTCTGAAACGTGGCAGGTATAACTGACAGTCGTTTGTGCAGATGTTTACGGTGATTAGTAATTTATTATTGGAACAAGCTAATAAATACTTAGTGCATCATTTCGTGTTCATACGAAGATTCCTGATACCAATTACAACTACTTCTGTGTAGGTTTAGGCGTCAGAATAAGCTTTATGAAGCACACGTGTAACACAAGTACATGTTGAGCTGAGACTTTACATTTGTGGGATTGCACTGCCCTAATTCTACCTTGTCGAAAAACGGTTTCATGGTCATCGAATATTTACTGAACATGTGAAAGAGTTTTTTCTTGGTGACAAATCCCTCAAGCATTTTTACTATTGTATATGTTCAGTGGTAGCTTTCAGGAAAATTATATTCTTACTTATCAATTTACTGACAAAAAATATATGAAGATTCAATTGACAGACTCGAGTTGTGACATTACGTAAAGGTTACAACAAGTGATATGAAGCCTACAAATTTAGTGGGTAATTAAGTATGACACCTTTAAACAGGAATTAGTGGCAGTTGAAACTACTTAACAGCTGAGTCTACTGTCTGTACTTTGAGTTGGCAAGTGATTCCTGAACATTTTCTCTGACGTCTTTCATTGACATTATTTAATCCTGTCATTTTAATTGGTTTGGTATTTACAATAACTTATTCAAAATTGATAATCGTTACACAACTCATGTTCATATCCCATGTCAGGTTAGAGCTAAATTGACCTCAGATGAAGTTCTAACAGTCCTAAGGAAACATAACTAGAAACATCACATCACATCTCTTGTTCCCACTAGACACACAGCGACCATCCTTTATATAGTTAATATCCCCCTTTGCTTGGAGTTAGCGCTGACTAGGAACAGATTATGTAAACAGCTGTAGAAGACAATCAACGGTGTCACTCCATCGGCCTGAAACTCCGTAGGTGCCACTAACATGCTTCTTCGACTAGCAGCTTCCCTACTTGAGCATCGAAGATGCCTATGAAAATGTCTCAGAGTTTCGCTGTTAGCAAAAAATTAACTTCTGGTAGAACTCATCCTGCACTTCTCTTGAACTGCAAGTTGTTGGGGCGTATGCGGTGAAGACTCCCGGACCGGGTTCTTAGGTATGCTGGAAACCACTGTCTGGAGACTGTTAGTAGTATTCCTCGAAGCCGTTCTCAATAACGTACATCTATTTGCTCGTTGTGATCTCCCAAACACACTAAATCCTGATGTTTTTATCATGTTACTATTCTTTTGGATCTCTTTTCTCTACTTTTGTGTGCTATGTGGCGTAAACCAACTTGAACTAGTGCACTTCTGTGCAAACTTCTGGGTAAAGCATCATTCAGTCATGACAAAGAGGTGAACTATCTCAACACAGGTGAAGTATATATAAACCCCTTAGCGTTACTTTTGCTTTATGCCTTACTGTATGACTTTGCAGTAGATCACCTTTCTTATAAATCACTGTTAGCACTTACGTCTCAAAATAAACCTTGATGTCTTCTGTTTTATGCTTTCTACTTTTAGATAGTGGGAATGGTTGTTTTGGCTGCGGCATTGTACTTCTACTTTTCAACATTTGGAGTTAGAGGTGTACAACAACACAATATATTGGGATATACTTATATTGTCATCGCTGTGATTGGGGCTCTGAGTTTTATATTGGGAATATTGGGTTGTTGTGGTTCATATCACTATAGTCGGTGTTTATTGGGTATTTATTTCTCCTTGTTGTTGGTTATATTCGCGATTGAAATTGCCATCGGTGTAGCAGGATTCGTTCACAGAGACCAGGTGAGTTCAAATTACTACAAGGTTGTTCATGTTTCATGCTACATAATTCTGCATACCTCAAAAGTGTAGACACTTTCTCAACTACTGTGTAATAGATTTATGCTCCCTCCATCAACATCAGTTCGATTGTCCGGCTGATACTTCTAGCGTCCACGCCATATGTAGTTTAGTTGGTCATATGAATATCTACCTATTTGATTGAAGTGCTAATATATAGTGTAATTTTTGCAGTTGTTAAGGATGGAATAAAAATTCATCGACATATTCGTCTTTCCGATACAAAATGATGAATTTTTTTGTTGGAATTAAAGTGTCTGTCATGACTTATGCTTAAAAACTAAGTTCATGATGGCAAGATGATGTTCTTCAACATTTAGTTTTAATGTCTTCTATCGCTTATCCATTGGGCAGTTATGAGGTAGGTCATAATGTTAAACGTGCAATCCTCATATTGATTTCTTATGTTGTATGAATTGAATTTTTGAAGATGATTCCCACCACGAACCGATATCATTTGCACAGGCATATAATAATAGGTGTTAAAAAAGAATTCATACTCTGTAGTGCTGGATTATAATTTACGTGGCTTTTAAATCTCTCTTCACTTAGAGACTATACATTTACTTCTTTTAAAACGTTTAAAATATACAGTGATGTAGTTTCTTGAACAAGTATCAATTGTGATAGCTTTTTCTGTATTGCTTTTCAATGGTTTCTCGAGTGATGAAAAGTCACTACAAATACTGTGATTGGATATTGTCTATTGGATCTCGTCTTTCCAACTCATATCATTTACAGGTACAACGTCTTCTTTCTTTTCCTTTTCTCTTTTTTTGTTGTTATGCGCTGCTTTGTTTCTCTCTTCCTTACCAACTCTACTTAAAACATTCTTCGTTCTTTCACACTGTATTTCTCGACCTTTTTGTTACCGCTTACGCCAGTAAATATGCTTGTATGTACTTTTCTACCACCTTCAAACACTGTTCAATTTTGGCTTCGCTATCGACATGCTAATATGCTGTTGTCAAAACTAACCGAAATTACCCTTAATCTATATAGAAATTTTTTTGTTAATGTACTAACTGGATGCAATACTGCGGTGAAATGCTGAGAATTCCATTATATATCACAGGTACTGTTTTGGAATAAAGCAAATTATTATTATTATTAAAAAAAGCATGAAGTATAACATTTTTTAGCGTTGTTTATTTTAGTTGTATGCTTGTAAAGCTGCTGTGTTTTTCTTAGAAATTCTGCCTGTTATGCAGGTTACTAATGTGGAGGTATTTCATGTGATGTTAAATGTCGTCGTCTAACTGTATTTATTTTCTGTTTTTTCTTGTCTTATATCTTTTTAGGCCCGTCAAATAATTCATGAAACATTGAAAGAAGGCGTTGAAGACTGGAAGAATTCGGACAGTGAAGTTCGATGGATGGATACAATCCATGTTATGGTAATGATGTTGTCACTTGTCTTAGCTCCGTGGCAGTTTTTGCTTGTAATTATGCTTACAGATTTATATACTATGGTCACTGTGATCCAGGTCTGCCAATTGGACCGCATTTACACCTATTTAGTATCAGTTGTGCATATGCCTATGCAGATATTAATAAGCAGTTAAATGATTTAACCGAAGTAGTGTCAGTAACAGAATGTTCAGTATTTTCATTTGTTTTTGTATACTTAATGTATTAGGTAGAACAGTATGGTTGACGGTGAATAGTGTTGGGTTCGTATAGTGGTGTTAGCTAAGTTTTCAAAGAAAGCCAGAAAACTCAGCATTTTTTGTTTTGTAAACCTAAACCTTAGTAAAAATTATATATATATATATATATATATATATATATATATATATATATATATATATATATATATGCTGTGCTGCCAAAACATATTTAGATCGAATTCCATCTCGAAGTCTTGCGAACAAGTTGGGATTTAAAAATCTAGTCTGGCTGCTTTTATAATACAGTAACTTGACACACCATATTTTAAGTGTCATTTCTTTTTTCCACAGGAGTATTGGTTTTGTTGGTGATTGGAGGTGAAATGATAAACTTATTCTTCTCTATGCTCGAATCAGTAACCCGATCAATACTGGCTTAGCATTCGACCAACTGAGGTATAAAGCATAGCTACTATAACTAGGTCATTGTATTACTGCTGTCATCAGAGGTGGTTGTGTCTGGCTGTTGTGTAAATGATTACCCATTATACTTTTCAGTGCCAAACAAGAGATGTCTTACATAATCTTGGTAGGGATCAATCATCTTCCCCTCACCCTCCTAATGCAATATGTTCAGAACTGACATGGCAGCTAGTGTAATGATGCTATTTATTACTATCTATGTCTGACAAGTTATGCAGTGGCTATAGTAATTCCAGTGATCTCCCACTATTTTTATTGTTTCTTTTGTAAATAGAATCTCTCTAATATCCCCACTTTTAATGCCTCTTTTGGTGAACTTGTGAATGAAAGCCATTTCAATTTAGTATCTCGGAATTACAGACTGTTAATTTTACTGAAATACTTTTATTCACTCTTTTTTTATTACAGTTTCAATGTTGCGGTTACAATGGACCAATGGATTATGGTGTCACAAGAGTACCTTCGTGTTGTTTAAATGATGATTGTGCCCTGGATTTAGCTTTGCTTAGCTTTAAAACGGTAATACTTTTGTGATGTATATTTTTGAGGTATATATATATATATATATATATATATATATATATATATATATATATATATATATAATGATTATCGCAATTTGTTTGATTTTTTAATTGAGTTTTATGCTTCTAGCTCTATTATTTATTTATTATTTGCGTGTCGTGAACTTCGTTTAGAATGTTCTGATTGTACTGACTGCATTCTCCATAAGCAAATTATGACGCCAACAAAAACGGAATAGTTATCAAGATAGTAATCTTAACGGCCTTCCTGAATCAGCAAGGCTTTTTAGACTTAACAGTTTATTGATATTTTCTCAAATTATCTCTATAATGATCATTTCTGAATATCCTTTCCTTAATCATCATATTTCTGTCCAAGAAGTGTATTCATGATCATATCACAAACTACTTCATGGAGCCTCTATTCTATTTTGATTATTGTTCTACAGTTAAAATAATCAGTTTTCATTTTTAACTCAGGAAATTATTCCCTGACCATTGGTGCCCCGTTCATTTATAATTATTCTCTAGGTCTGGCAGTGGAACATAGAAGTTGAAGACCATATCCTGTTCTCTGCAGTTCTTTTTGTCTGGCTGCCCTATTGCCCATAAGTTTTCATCTCATCCTCACACGATTTCCGTGTCATCCTTAGACGGCCCAATTTGTCGTTTGCCATTCGGATTCCACTCTAGAATCTGAGTAGCATATGATTTCGCTCAAAAGTGTATCTTATCCATCTTCCATTTCTTTTGTATATTCTTTCGGTGATAGGTTCTTGGTTCGTCGCCGTAGTTCCTTGTTGTTTATACTTTTGGTCGGCCATCTGATTTTCAATATGGGGCCAATAAAGGCAGTTGTTGATGAAAGTCTAGCCTGTTGGTAAATGCTCTTCGTGATGCGCCTGTCAAGTCTCTAAACCGTATAGATCTGAAATGATATTGTTGAGAATTATAATCTCATTCTTTATGTTGAGTGCACTGGACTTCCACAATGATTTCATTGTAGTGAAGGTCTGTTTTGGTTTTGTGATCCTGCTTTTAACGTCCTTATCCGTTCCCTCCCTCTCTTACTGAGACAGTCCTACCTAATCAAAGAGCTGATTTCCTTCACATTCCTCCCGTCGATGGTGATTGATTTCTGTTGTTTTAGTTGTTGGGGGGGGGGTATCTTCAACTTGGTCTTCTCTGTGTTCACCTGGAGTCTTATCTTTACAGCTTGTTGTTGTTTTTCGCTTGTAGATCTTCGAGTTTGTGTAAAGTTAGTCACAAAGTTCAGATCTTCCAGTGTCATTCCGGCGATTCACCTATTCCTGTCTTATTGTTCCACAGAGCTCATAATCTGTCTGTCTGTTTTCGACATAGAACTTTGCACAAATGTGCGGAAGTTCAAGTCGCCACACTCCGTGTAGCACGCGAAGCAAGAGAAGAAAGTACAAGAAAAGCATAATAGAGACAGTGAGCAGAGGTGTGAGGAGTAATAACGAGCTCATAATCAGGAATCTGATCTGTAGTAGTAAGCGACCTTTCATTACTCTTGTCTTCATTTCAAAGGCTTCTCTGAATTTTCCGTTGTGGATCATTTGGCAAGTGGCATCATCTTAAAGCTGTTGAGTGAAGTGATTTATTATATATGTTCAATGAAAATGAAAAGTGACCTGCTGACATTTTACCACTCAGTCACTAACCGGTTGTTTAGCTTTTTGTTTAGCATTATCGTTATCACCCATGTAACGTAGAGCTAAGCATGGTTCATAGCTTGGCACACAAAACTTGATGTTTGTTAGATTGGCTACAAGAGATGAAATACTTGCATTGAGTCATTTCTGTTGCAAGTGTTGGGTGTAGACTCAACGAATAAGGATTCCGTAATCAACCTTTCTCTCCGTCTACCTATATTACTTTTTAGAATTTTAACCCTATCCCACCCTATTGTGTGGTTGTTTGTTAATGCGAGAAGTGCGATAGCTGAGCTTTTTTCTAAATTATTTATCATTTCAGGGTCAACCATTCTTCCCTTATGTTCCGACAATCTGATTACCCTTATCTACTAATTTGAACTATACAGTTGAATTAACTCACAGTCATTGCAGGGTATTTTGTAAATTATATTATTTTGTTTGATTGGGTCCACCGGGTCTTTTAGCCTGCAGAGCTTGTCTCTGAGTGAGTTTGTAGGTTTGAATGCCGCCCTAATTCCTGCTTTATTAAGAATCCTACTTAGGGAGGGTCGCAGATGCCCCCTCTTTATATGGTATAATTGTAGATGACTTACATTCTCTCTTATTTATGTTATCATTACTAGTTTCACAATTATTTTTATTTTGTTTTTGGTCTTTACTGATCTTCCTAATGAATTTTATAGGATAGTTATAGTTATTTTTTACTTATATCAATGAGATGAAATACTTTATAATGGATAAATTAAAGTATGCACTGTGTTATATATACCATACAGCAAACACGAGATAGATTGAGTGATAATGAAGCCAAATTTCTATCCGTCAAAAATTCTCTACATATCGCCATTTGCTTTCTGTAGAGTAAGCTTGATATTATTTGTTGCTAAACCAAGTACCATACCCAAAAATAGCGTTTACATTTTTTTCTCCAAAGAATCTTACATTTCCTGGTTAGTTTGTGGTGTTGTTTTATATGAGATTTCCTACATGTTCTCTTATTTTTTTATATAGGGTTGTAAAGAGAGAATTGACAATATTATGCATAATTTTCTTATCATATGCATCTCCGTTATCTTGGTAGCACTTATCGAGGTGAGTTTCATGCATTGGTGTGATTGTATCTGCTAATCCAGAATACGGTTATTTTTTATCGTTTTACCAATTTTAAAATTGTATTACACACTTGTCCCATGCATTCCGATTTCAAACAAATGCACGGTATTGCATGGGTTTGAATTTCCTTTCACCATCACCCTGCCGTGTGGTTTAAACAGCCCGACAAGCCTCAGTCCCTCATGCAATAGATGTATGTATAGCCTAGGTGTACAAAAAATGCAAGCAAGTGGTTGTCAGGCGTTATATCATTAACAATTTGCAATGACTAATACCCAATCACACGATCTTCATCTGTGTCCTATTGTCTAGAGGATATATGAGGTATACATCTTAGGGTTTATTTTTGCCTCAGCAAGGTACAGACAGCATTCTTTCAGTAGGCACAATATGTCTAGATGATTGTCAAAGTTTCAGATCAAATGTGTATGCAAATGTAGGATGATTCTAGGGAATTAGTCTGTCTGTCTGTCTGTTTTCGACATAGAACTTTGCACTAATGTGCGGCTGTTCAAGTTGCCACACTCCCTCCTTGTAGCACACAAACCAAGAGAAGAAAGTACAATAAATGCATAATAGAGACAGTAAACAGAGGTGTGAGACAAAGGAATAGTAATAACGAAGAACAATATAGTTTCATTGGAAATCATAAGTCACAAGGAGTGGATGCATCTGCTGCACCAGTTATTGAGAACGATCACTTTGAGCCATATGACCAATTGTTTCCAGCAGTCATTGATTTTTTATCGTCCCAAGGACCCCAATCAACCAGGAAGTCTACACCTTCCTACGTGACTGGCTTAAACAAACTGTTGTAGATTTCATTGACTGGTGAAGCCATATTTTGGTTTAACCGCCATGTGCTAGCTCTTTTCCAGCCTTATTGTGTGTCAGCTAACATTGTCCGTCGAGGAAGGCACACGTAACACATGTCCCAGCCATCTCAGTCGATGTAATTTCACAGCCTCGTCGATTGATTTCCCCTCCTTACCTCGAACTCGACGGAAGTCTAACGTAAATATTGCACTTTGCTCACCTTGTTATACCACTTCACATGGGAGATAGAGCGTAGGTACCTAGGGAATTAGTGGTAATGATGTAGTGTTGACTTGATTATATATATATCCGAGCGATGCTGGGGACATCATTCGTACCAAATTCCCATGAAACTTCATGAACTCTCTTACAAATTGCCGCGCCTGGGCAGCGATGATTCGAGACGTTCATGAAGCCGGCTCATCCTCCCGTAGGAGATAGCCGAAGTAAAGTAAAGTAAGTATATATATATATATATATATATATATATATAGTTTGTGTTTATTATCCAGTTTATTCTAATTAGTGTTTATAATTTTTCATACACGAATTCCCCTAATGACTTTGAACAAAGCAATAACAACAGTAACATATGCTGCAGGATAAAACGGACCCCTTGTTTATTCTGTCGCTTTCATCTTATCAGCCGCATACAATCTAAGTAATGAAATTTAATAGTTCTGTCTCTTTCTCTATTACAGTTTTAACAGTATCTTAAGTTTAGTAGCTATAAAATATGCAACAATAATTGAGAATGATCAGGATGTATGGATAAATCGAAATGTCTGATTAAATAAAATATAAAATACTACTGTATTTATGTGTGTAATATGATCGTAGTTTCTTGAATAAAACAAAAAGTGGGGAGGGGGGGAGCAGGTTTAACAACAAGATATTGAGGTACATAATTTATGAGATCACAGAAGTCATTATAAAAGTTTTGATAAACAAATGAAATAGGTAAAAAAAATGTGAGTTAAGCTCATTTGGTTAGGATATCAAATACACGAAGCACGACGTTCATTAAATCATGACGTAACTAAGATTTGAAAAGAAATCAATATTTACGTTTAAAGTATTATGTGGTCATTTAAGATTAAGAGACGAGTTATTCATGTAAAAAAAAGAAGATTCACTACAAATTCTTTTTGATTATTTGATTCCGGTTTTAATCGTTTGATAGTGATGGCCTGCACTGACTTTGACTAACTTGAGCTTGACTGGTTGTTTTTTTTTATTTTGAAAGATGTCGTGTATCAATGAGACGTCTTATGACTGTGTTGTTCAAAGATTTATATTTTTAAAATTTTATTTTTGAATACATCTTGATTCCACATCGTATTTTTGGTACAAGTATGGAATTTTCAGCATGTGATATCGATAGCCCAAATTTTGCAGGCCGACCATAGATATCAGGTGTGCGTCGGCAGGGGATCGAACCCCGGACCATGTGCATGGTCGGCGAGAGTCCTAACCGCTGTGCCACCTTCTTTTAATCTCAAATATTTTGCTATATGTTCAGAAAATGTAAGATAGGCCCCGGCTGTTTTTGTCCTTCCATTGTGTATTTGCTTTGGCAGCGAAATGTAAATTGCTATACACAGTTGAAGTATTTCAAAACTGTAATCGAGAAGGAACTATTAAATTTCATTATTTAGGATGTATGCAGTTGACAAGAGGTGATACCGACGAAATAAACAATCCATCTGTTCCATGTTCTATTGCTTTGTTCAAATTAATTAATGTTACACTTCATATTGCGCCATTTATAAATCATTAAGAGGAACCATTTTTTATCATAGCGAGAGAGAGAGGAATATAACCTATTAGCTTAGGCACTTAGCTTTCAGCCACTTGGTTCCCAATCAGAATCATGTTTCACCTACTTTACTAAGAGGTCTACATATCAATAAACAGTGGGGTTTACGACCTAGTAAATGAAAGATCTGTCATAGATGGTAGGTAACTGAATTTTACTGAGAAAGCAAATTTTTTATTCTTTGTGACTAAATGAATACCATTTTCGAATTAACACATGGATATTTAGCAGAAATTAACTCATGTGATGTACATGTGCTCTAACTAACTAACTAACTAGCAGAAATATCATCAAAGCTTATCTATTGTTCTACATTATCTTAAGGCGACTTGATCATGTTTTTTATTAGAAAGTTACAATGATGAAGTTCAGTAATAAAATGCTTTTAACTCTGTTTTGACAGAATATCTCATCAAACATGTAAAATAATGTCTAAATAGATAGATAGATAGAAAGAGAGATACATACATCTATGATATGACGTTTATAGAATAAATATTTCACTTTTCGTTTATAAATCAAACAGGTTAAAATAGGTTGAAAATGTCATTTAATGATGAACTAATTGATAGCAGAGATATCTATTCTTGTACCTCTTACCGAGTAATCAACCGAAATATATCACTAAACATTTATAGTAATGGTATGATTTCCCTTTATATGAACTGTTGTCTACTAATGGATAGATGCCAAATATTCATACTATGCAATTTTAAAGCGTCCTATCCGTTATGAAGTTAATCTGTCTTTCTCCCTCTCTCTTTGTGTCATATTCTATTCATAGTTAATCGGATTAATATTTGCTATGACTCTGTGTTGTGCTGTCAACGGACGTGATCCAAATGCTTACTATCGAGCAGTACAAACAGCATAAAGTTAGTCAATTAGCTGCTTCTGCTGTTGCTGTTAGTGGTGATGACGGTGGTGGTGGTTACTCAGTCAATTCTGAAGAATCTTTCTCCAATCAACTATTCAAATTGTTGTTTTTTATTGTATACGTTTAAATCTTTGCTTTTCTCTCTTCTGCATACATTTAAAATAATAATAATAAATACAAACACGCACACACTTGATTCCATTGAACTCGAAATTATGCGTTGGGGGAATCTGTTTTTTTTCCAATTTTTTAAATTGATAATTATATCCACCATTGCGTTGATTTTGCTGTTTTTTATACATAAGTGTATGTGTGTGTGTGTGTGTGTGTGAAGGCTATACATGTGTTCAGTTGTATTGGATCTCTGCGCATTGAAATGCGTATTGGTGACAACTATGGAGAGCATCATCTGTTATCATCATTGCATCCCTTGTTTTTCTGTATTCCCTTTTGATATTGTATAGAAAGAAAGAAAGAAATTTACAGGTTATTTCCTACAATCTAGATGGCATTATATAAACACACACACACGCGCGCACACACGTACTGCCATACATACATGTGTGTGTGTGTGTGATTATTCAATATGCATATACATATATAGTCAAATTTACACTAAGCATTTTCTCTTCAGCTTCCCGTGACACTTTGCATCATTTTCCCCTCTTTCTTTTGTATGTCATTACATTTATTTATTTATTTATTATAGTAGGTCGGTTTGAATTTATTTCATAGAGATGCGACAATCATGTTGGTCTTGTTTATTGTTTAATTGTTTCCTTTCCTTCTCTGCTTCATTCCGTCAATTGTGAAGTTGATTTTGTGGAGGAGGAGGAGGAGGAGAAGAGGAAGGAGAAATTGAGCAGCATGTTTAACGCCGTTCCGCGTTTTATTTTACGCACTTCCTTTGTCTCGCGTTTTTTCTCCCCACTGAACTATTACAACTATCAAGTAATTAATTAATGAATTAATTAATCAATTCCCTTTTGTTGTGCATTCATTGAGATAGAAATAGGACATTGTGAATACTTGTAATCACACATCTCATCCATCGAGAGATATACATACATACATACATGCCTATATACATGCGTTTTATATTTATATTCATTCATTTAATCATTCATCATCATTGTTCATTGGGGTTTGGTTTTGTTTTTGTCTAATACAACTATTTTATTGAGTTATAAGTTGTTGCTTTTTAAAAAAAATCTGTTCTAATGGAAAATACATTCAATGTATACATCATGTATACACGTTGTTTAAAGCCTATATCCCATGGCAGTTTTCTTAGTCGTCAATATCTGCGAAAGGATTGTACAATTTGTACAACTGATGATGCTTAACTGTACTCTCTGGAGGAGCTTTTCTTTTGTTTGTTTGTTCTTTCTTTCTTTATCATCGACATTCATCATCTAAACAACTAAGCCTGTATGTTTAACTATAAAGTTTTACTTTCATTTTACCTCTGATTATTGTTGTCAATCTGAAATTTCTGTTTGTTTCGCTTTTTTTTCTGCTTCGGTGATTTAAACACATTTTTGTTTTGTATTCAATATTTATATATGTATGTGAAATGGTCATTTTTATAATATATTTATTAACTGCATATTGGGATATATATATATATATATATATTTGTGGTATATCATGTATACCTGCCTATAGGTGCTAGTTCAGTTCACTGTGTTTCTGTGTTAAATGGTTGTATATATAGGGTGAGTAGTAATATTGAGTTTAGTTGTAGAGTGTTAGCTAAGGAGACGTTGTAAAGCTACATGGATTCAGAACGATTATGACATGTGTACTGCTCATCAGTCCGCTCCATCCTCCTTTATTGGCTGTGAGACCTGGACATTGAGAGTGGAAGACATGAAAAGATTAGTTGTCTTTGATCATAGATGCCTGCGTTCTATCTCCCGTGTGAAGTGGTAGGTGTAATAGAGTGAGCAATATTGAGGTTAGGCTTCCGTCGAATGCTAAGTACGTGGGAGGGGAAATCAATCGACGAGGCTGTGAAATTACATCGACTGAGTTGGTTAAGACTTGTGTTACGTATGCCGGCCTAGCCATCGCCTTCCTCGACAACAAACAAGGTTAGCTGATATAGGACGAGACTGGAAAAGAGCTAGCGGTATTCAAACAAAAACATGGCACCAGTCAATGAAATCTACAACAGTTAGTTTAAGCCAGTTACGTAGGAAAATGTCGACGTCGTGGTCGGTTGGGGTTATCGAGACGATAAAAACCAGTGGTTGGAAACAATTGGCGATATGGCTCAAAATCGTTCTCAATGGCTGGCTGGTGCAGATGCATCCACTCCTTGTGACTTATGATTTCCAATGAAACTATATTGTTCTTCGTTATTACTATTCCTTTGTCTCACACCTCTGTTTGCTGTCTCTAATATGCATTTCTTCAATTTTCTTCTCTTGGTTTGTGTGCTACAAGGAGGGAGTGTGGCAGCTTCAACAGCCGCACATTTGTGCAAAGTTCTATGTCGAAAACAGACAGACATGTGTTACGCATGCCGAGACTGCTTTCCTTGACGACCAATGTTAGCTAACAGGATTACTAGATGGTTATAGGTAGCTGAGAGGAAGACTTGGACTTAGGTAGATGTCGTACTTGTTGGCTGATAGAAAGGATTGGATACATGACTCTCTGTTTTCGACATAGAACTTTGCACAAATGTGCGGCTGTTCAAGTCGCCACACTCCCTCCTTGTAGCACACAAACCAAGAGAAGAAAATTGAAGAAATGCATATTAGAGACAGTAAACAGAGGTGTGGGACAAAGGAATAGTAATAACGAAGAACAATATAGTTTCATTGGAAATCATAAGTCACAAGGAGTGGATGCATCTGCACCAGCCAGCCATTGAGAACGATTTTGAGCCATATCACCAATTGTTTCCAGCAGTCATTGATTTTTTATCGTCCCAAGGACCCCAACCAGGAAGTCTATACCTTCCTACGTAACTGGCTTAAACAAACTGTTGTAGATTTCATTGACTGGTGAAGCCATATTTTGGTTTAACCGCCATGTGCTAGCTCTTTTCCAGCCTTATTGTGTGTCAGCTAACATTGTCCGTCGAGGAAGGCATACGTAACACATGTCCCAGCCATCTCAGTCGATGTAATTTCACAGCCTCGTCGATTGATTTCCCCTCCCACGTACTTAGCATTCGACGAAAGCCTAACCTCAATATTGCTGACTCTATTACACCTACCACTTCACACGGGAGATAGAACGCAGGCACCTATGATCAAAGACATCTAGCTAGCCTGTCTTTTCATGTCTTCCACTATCGCAGCTATAAAGGAGGACGGAGCGGATTGATGAGCAGTACCCTCCCTTTGATCGATTGCCAGCCAGATATCACATCTACGACAGAGACGGCGTAAACTGGCATATATGAAACTAGCCCTCTGTGTCCGTGCTGAGATTTCATCAGAGATCAACCTGTTAGGCTGGCTGATGCTTTTTCCCAAATAAGTGAAGCAGTCAACGTGCTCTACCACTTCACTCCCTATTTCTAAACTAGGAGTCAGTGTAGTCCAGTCCTCTAACATCATCTTGCATTTGGCGATAGCGAATCGAATGCCAAACATTCGTAGGTTGCAGCTCAAGGTGTTCATAACACCTTGGATACATGACACTAGCTACTTACCCACTACCTCCTAGTGTTCAGTCAAAGTAACATAGAATTATGTTGGAAAAGAGTTAGACCTGATCAAAAGAAAACTTGATTATGTAAAACCATAAAATCGTTGACAGTTGGTTTGATCTAATCACGTAGGATAGTGGAGACTTCCTGGTTGTTGTCGTCAGGACGTTAAGAATCTATGGTTTGAGTCTGTTGGTGGCATATATTGCTCTAAATCGTTGTTCACTTGGTACATATGCATTCACTCTGCGTAATCTCACAGATCACCCATGAAATTCTCGGGTTTCTCCATGGTACTATTCTTCCTCGTGTAGATTTCTGCTCATTACAGTCGCTTTGAGTTTCTTTTTTTATGTTCTACATGGAATGTGGAACGAAATCTGTGAAAATTTTATTGCTGAAAATCAGTTAGTCACTGTGTCAGTTTATTGTGTTCCTCTATTTGACCAACCTAACGTACACGTATATCCTAGTACTTCTTCGCGTTTATTATTGTGATTACTCGACATCCACAACGTAAATAAAAAGGCACTTGAGAAGTAGTATGGACGTGTATTCTCACAGTAGTCAAAATTCAAAAGTTGAGCGAGTACAGTGTATCAATTGTTAACACGCATTCTTTAGACTGATAAACAAATCAAAGTTCAATTACATAGTGAAAGTATACTACGATGATGAATAATAAAATGGGTCACTACAAGTTAATGTAAATTTAGGGTTGGGGTATTGGTATCTGTTCTAATAAAAATTGTCATCTTCTGAATACTGCTGTGCACAATTAGAGTATGTCGTATGGTAGTGTATGCAGTTTCTGATTGTTACTGGAAGAAGACGGATTTATTTGAACGGCTTGAATATAACAGTGAAATGGTACTTTATTACGGTTTTGGGTTTAGTCGTGACAAAAAGAGAAATAAGTTGATATTAAATGTTTCACAGGAGTTTATCATTTCAAATTACCGCATATATAAAACTAAACGTATTGTGAAACATGAGTGCGAATGAAGTAAGCATATGAACAATAGTGGGTGATTTCGAGGATTTCAGAGGTGGTGGTAGAGTCAACACTTCAGCATCATAGCAGCTTCCAATCATGATCCAGAGAGTTCAACTGTCAGTTCTTCAAACCCCGACGGCCTTAGTAGAAAACAAGGTATACGTGATAACGATTAAATGTTAAAGGCTTCATAATTTGGTGTCTTGTTTTGACTGTGCAAACTTTAACTTCAAACTCTTCAAAACATCCTACTTCACGATAATTGCTCTTTGCCTTATGTATGCGTAATATATGTGTCAATCAGCTCAGTTGATTTTCCGCTACCTCGTC